GGAAATTTCCTGATTTAAAGTATTCGACTAAGCACAAATTACTTGTTGAATGCAAAATAAACAAGACAGAAAAAGTTTTCTGAATGAATGTAATAAATTGAGGAAAATTCTTACCTTAAAGCTTAATAAACCCATTGTCAGATATGCTTCTTTAGCGATTTCCTCTCCAAATTTGCAAGGGTTCTTTTTCCTCTAATGTTTTTAGCAAAACAATAAGAATGATTGTCAATGGACTTGAAAGGAAATATATTAGCAAGTTTCATGTGAGTAAAGATCATAAAATAGCAACTCAAATTTTAGAAAGAGGAAGTATATGGAATTATATATGTGTAAACATCATCTTGACGAAGGCAGTGTTCAAGTATATATGCCCTTTAGATAAAGGTAAAGTTAAAGATTTAACTTTGTGATTTGAGGACATAATTTGTTTAATAATTCTGATCTATAATTTGTTTAATAATTACCTCTTTATCTCTAAGGTGATGAAGTTCTATGTACTAATTCATAAGATGAGCCCGTCAGATATCCATGTTTGTTAACCTCAAGTTTTGTGAATCCTAAAACTTTCATTACCTAGCTTTACATTTCTTCATCATGCACATAATATAGCACATTGAAAAAAACTACCATTTTCACACACATTAGAGAATATAGCTGTAAAACTTGACTGAAATTCAAAAGTTCAATAAGCAAGTGAGTCTCCCTATCATGAAACCTTTGAAAATTTTTCTTTTACCCCTTTAAAATCCAAACAAAAAATAGGATAATTATCAATCAATAAGGCTGAAATTTCTAATAATCAACTCGTTACAGGCCAAACCAACCTCACCATCTTTAACAAAATCTGAGCTTTCCTATTCACCCTCTCTGAACACCTACTTTTCACCATCAACAACATATTCATAACTCTGACAGCACCACCTCCCACTGCAAAACCTCCGCCGCCCCCACCATTGCCAACATTAGCCCCACCGCTTTCTTTGTCGTCATTTCCCTCACTAAACCCTCCATCGTCTCTTTCCCGCCAGCACCAACCACCGCCTCGATCCCTCCCTCATCTTTACACGATTTTAATGCTCAATCTTCTACCCAACTCCTCTCCTTCAATTCCTCCTAATAAATTACATAAATTAAGAAAACTCGGGATTAGGCTTAGGGTTACCTAGATAGAGACGAAGCAAGGGTTATAGATGAAGCAAGAGGAACCAAAAGGTGATGACTTGGGTGAATACGACGACTAATGATGGGATGTGGGGATTGAGTAGAGGTGGAGGGCGGTAGCTTCGGTTGATCTGGAGTGAGAGAGATGAGAGACAAAGGTTTTATGGGGGTGTACATCTCATAATTTAGAGGGGGATGATCAAACGGATCATATGTATTGGGGTAGATCAAGCGATTCACAAAATTAAGTGAGCTCCTAAGACGGAGAAATTACCCTCTTTACGAAATTTTAAGGTTATCCAAAACAACCCTAACAACAGGGCTTTTTTCCTGTTAGGGATGTTCTACATCCTTGATGGCTCATCCCTGACTGCTGGCGCCGTCAGGGATGTGAACATCCATGATGGAAAATTCCCGTCAAGGATGCCCAGTTTTCTACTAGTAATTTTCATCAGTAGAAAAGGACTGAAAAGAAATAATACTGTAGCTACATTTTTTTCAAGACAATTAAGAAGGTATAATAACATAATGTTTAAATGAAAGATTACCGTCAAAATCATTCATGCACTGAGACACTTGAGCATACAATATGCATTTTACCCATTTCTAGTCTTGAGCATACAATATGCATTTTACCCATTATGTACCCTGCTATAAAATCATTTCAAAATGTCGACACTTGACACGAAGCAATGAGAACGATGAGACGGTCATTGAAAGCCATTGACAAGAAGAAAATTGCCCTCAATTCTTCCTCTATCTTAACTATAAAATAAAAAACTTACCAGATCAACCTCCAATCAGCGCATTAGAGGAAAGTGTAATCCTCTTGACTTATTACAGTGCATACATGTCTATGTTGGAAATAGCCTTCACTTTCCTTCATAAGCTTGTTTCTATCATCCAAACTTACAAACCTTAACCCATTATATAACTTGACCTAATGCAGCTAACCTAATTCATGATTTGAATTGAAAACAACCTACCTTGACTTTTATCTCGGTCGCCATCAATCAAGTGACTAAAAGGAAGAATGAACCCAATTTATGATTCTTCTGTTCAACAACCAAGAGACCAACAACCAAAGTCAAACTTACATTTGATCCATAGCCTTCTCCAACTCAAAAGAATGACTCTAGTCCACATGCTATTAGGCCTAAAATTCAAGATATTACATTGACATCCTACAACAAGGCAAATTATGTAATGAGCATATAAAGAAACAAGTATTTGAAAATCGTCCTATAAAAATACCGCAATAATCCAGAACATAAATTATTATTGCACGTAGAGCAAACCAGTTAACAATACTCACTGCAATTCATATGTGTAACATGTAATGAAACTTACATATACAAGTAATAATTTGATTGTTGCAAGTGATAATTCACTAATAATTAACAAATAATCCATAATTTACATGAGTTTGATTGCAAGAATCGTTAAAATTTAAGATGTCAATTACTGTTCAATGATACAAGCCAGAAAATCACAGAATGATACCAAGAGTAAAAGTTCAATGTTGAAAAAAGCGGTAAAAAACTTCGCTTAAGTGGTTTTAAAAGCAGAAGAGGTCCCTGGTCGCTTTGCTTTCATTGCTTTCACTAGTATTAAGCCTTTTTAGAAAAAAAACAAGTAGCCGGTATGTAGCTCTACGCAATCCAACCCTACATGCTTTTGGAACTTAAATGGCTTTCTCATTTACTTGCGAATTCTCTCCTTTGTGTTTCGAACCTGAAAAAACCCTAACATCCTGAATTCTTCGCTTCCTGCGTCGTCAACCTCCTCTGTCTAGTTCATCGTCAACCTCCTCTGTCTAGTTCATCCACCTTGACAAGTCCATCTCTAGCGAAGAATCGTTTTTTTCCATCTTGTCCATCTCTCCTTTTTCACCCTAAATTCAAGCGAAGCTCTCTTGTTGCTAAATCCTCCTTGACAAGTCTTCCTCCAGTAAAACCATCTCCACATAATCCCAAAAAACTTTAGACCCCCTAAAACCATCATTGTCTCCGACAATCTCTGCCATCAGCAAGTTCTGCACTTGAAGATGCCTCCACTTAAGCTCCCTCGGTGTTGGCAGTAATAGCACCATCGACACAACATATATACTTTCTATCTTCACATGTTTTCTAACTTTCTCCTCTCGAGTATTTTCAATATACTGTTTTAAGTATTTTTGAAGTTTTATCCATATTTAAAATTTTAAGGATTTGGACAATTTTTTTGTTGATGTTTTTCCGCTTTGAACTGTTTAAGCCCAAAAAATCCTAAGCGGTGCCTCACCGCTTTGCTTTGCGCTTCGCTTTGCACTTCTTCGCTTTCCACTTTTCTGGATAAGCCCCAAGAAGATGTAATTGTATAGATAGTATCATGTGTTATAGAAGAATCTCAAATTACTGCACAAATGAGCAAAAAGGAAACTTAATGGTTTAAAATGGGCAAAGAGCTAACCTAAAAAAAATGCAAAGTGATTGTAGAAATGTGTGAAAATAGTTTCTGTTGGAATGACAAGCCTAATTGAAGAATATATAGTAAGCACTGCACATGAGAGGATCTTCAATATGAAGGATGGTAGAACTATTAACTATTAAGTGGACTATACGCAAAGGCCAGGCAATTGATGTCGTTAATTCTAAGTGATTCATCAATCCTATTTGAAGCAACAGATGGATGAAGAATCTCAAGGTTGCTTTTCGTTAAGAATAATGACATAAGAATAGTAAGAGGCAATATTCAAGTTAACATTGTTAAAAACATTTTTGTAGGAGAAAAATAAATTAATCATGGAACTCTGTTAAACAGAGCATGCGGGCCATCTAGGGGCTTATACGTTTTATCTAAGTATTGTTCAATATGCAACTTGCTTTCGGTGATGTCCACTAGGTCCGTAATTAAGCTATCCTTTCTTTTCCAGCAAAGAAATTGAATTAAATAATAATTTAATGTGTTCATCAAAATTTTTGTCCATACTTTACCAGTTGGAATTTAACAATTAACTATAGCCAAAATTATTGATATCTTGGTGCAGTAACTGAAATTTGAAAAGCCAAAAAAATTTCAGCCTGCTTCAACCTTTGATAATTGTTGAGAATGTCAGTCATTTGAATTATGAAATGAATCTTAGTAGTGCTTGAGATTCCTAGGCCCCACTTATAGATCAGGCTCTTGAGAGAACAGGGTCTCGTGAATTACCGCACGGCAAGGATGAGTTATTTGGTCTTCTCTCTTTGTAAAGTGTCCCTTACTTGAATCTGTGTGAGGAGAGGACAAAGGATTATGTATTTAAGTGAAGTCATTTGGTCTTAAAGCTGTAAGTAGAAATAAATATTTATAAGAAACCAAGCCTGTGCTAGAGCTTTCATTGAGCCTGTTGATTAAAGCTTACTTCGTGGATGAAATGAGTCTAGCTTAAATCTAGCTCTTTACTTATATAAGGGATTTTAGCTTTGTTCAGGTTCACCATTTTAAGGTTATTAGAAAAGCCTAAATGGGCTCTTGAGCCTATTTACAAGCGTGGATTCTTTCACCAAAATTCTTATGGTGTTTAATTTTGAGTTGCTTATTTTCTTAAGTGGTTGAGGCTAAGCTTCAATCACATCCCGTCAAGTTTTCAAGTCTAGTTTCCTTGATTAGCCAGACACTTCGTCATGGCATTTTTTTCCTGTTTATTCGGTCTTTCTCATCAACTTTCTCCTGATGTTTGGAACTAAATTATTGTTTTGAAGATTACATTTGAATGTGTATGTTGGCCGCTCTCTTGAATTTATTTTAGCATGAATTCTTATCTAGTTAAGTTCATGATTTAATTGATAAATTAAGTTTTTTATTCAATGTGTCAGGGCAAGGATATATCTGGATGGCACATTTGACCCCCGGGAGTGATACATGGGAGCTCGCAAGAAGGAGCAAGCAGCTGTGGGAAGAGTTGGTGGAGAGTATAGAGCGTCAAGGAATGGATCCTCTAGCCGAGTTAGGTTGGAAGAAAACAGGTATTGTGTCCTATAATATAAGTTTCTTGCCTATTGTGGGTCTGTTATGCAGTTGTAGGCAGCAGGATTTCTATTTAGCATGGTGACCCAGATTGTGTTGGTATGGGAACAGGATAAGGATATGAAATGATAGAGTTCATGCATGGGAATAAAATTTCGATAATCCAGGATAGGCTGTGGAAATGCAAAACTAAAGTTGCATGTGTGTGAATTAATTTTACGTATCTGTAACATAGGTTTCTAAGGCTATTATACATACAGAAACATAAGTGACCTCTAGTACTATAAAATATTTTAACTTATGAATCAGAAGCTATAGAGAAATCATCATACTTAGCTACAAAGGGACAAATTATATAATTTAAATGGAACTGCATAGATTTTTAACTTCTTAGTATGGGATGTCTCCCTGTCTTGTCTACAATCTTATATCTTTTTAGATGCATAATGAGAGCATCCAAAAAGTATCATAATCCATTAAGTATGTAATGAGCTATCAGATATGTTCAAGTGCAGGGATGCCATGAGGCCATCTGTCCTGAAGTATTAATGCAACATAGATTGAGACAGTTATTGTTTGAGTAAATGCTACTAAGATTTTGATCCGTCAAAAGGGGCTATTTATTACGAATTTCACAAATACAATTTTGATGTAAACGTGGCTCTTCAGCTTGAGCTGACCAGTTTATTTATTGGTTTATTTATTTATTTTGTTTGAAATTATTGTCCATGAAATCCCCAGCTGCTCGAGTTTTACTAAGCTCATTTTGTGTTTCAAGGAAAGCACTTCCTTTCTTGTTTTGAACTAATAAAGGTTTACAATCTTGCTTCAGTAGATTGTTTGTTTCTCACAATCAACTTGGTCTCCATCTCTTCAATGAAACTGGGATGGTATTTGACTTCATCTTCATAATTAATTCATAAGATGCAATCCATAATTTTTCTGTACTCCTGTGGTGGTGTTAGTGCTGGAAAATGTTTGAGACTGAGTGCTGCTATTTTGCGGAAACAGCTTTCAGAGTTGGCTTTATTTGTATTTTGTAAAATGACCCTTTGAAAATTATAAGAAGGTACTATTTATGCTAGTGCTAAAAATGTATGCTGTTCACAAAAGACTAATGCTCATGAGCCTGTCAACTTTGTAGCACACAACTTATTGATAAAAACTTCAGCACGTGATATATTTGTTGCAACCAAAATTGCGAATTCCGTCAGTTCTTTA